ACTCATTAGCATAATAGGCCACACCCAACAGCAGAAACTCATTAGGATTGGCTACGTTAGGGGTGTGTGGCCTAACATGCAAAGGAGTTCCTGCTACAAAAAAAGGCCCTGGATTTTGACAACAAAGTAAATAGAATAAGAAGCAAAAGGTGGGTGTGGCTGGATGACCACACTTCTGGTAACATGGGGGTGTGGCCTAATATGCTAATGAGCTGCAGTGTCAGGGTGTGGCCTGATATGCTAATGAGTTCCTGCTGTTAGGTGTGGCCTATTATGCTAGTTCCTGCTGGGCTTTTTCTACAAAAAGAGCCCTGCCTAGCACTATCATGTCCCGCTTTGAATCTACCTTAAGACATCTGCCCAGACACTGTTGGGGACTCAATTTGCCCGATGAGATGCATGGTGGGCGTGGAAAATGCTGTCAAGTCGCTACGGACTTATGACGAACCTGTAGGGTTTTCAAGGCAAGAGATGAACAGAGGTGGCTCGAGATCCAGCTTGGTTTAGTGGTTAGGAGCGCGGACTCTAATCTGGGAGAACCGGGTTTGATTTCCCCACTCCTCCACATTCAGCTGCAGGTGTGACCTTGGGTCAGTCACAAGTTCTCTCAGAGCTGTTCTCTCCAGAGCAGTCCTCGGGAGAGCTCTCTCAGCCCCACCTACCTCACAGGGTGCCTGTTGTGGGGAGGGGAAGGGAAAGGAGTTTGTAAGCTGCTCTGAGACTCCTTTGGGTAGTGAAGGGCAGTGGGGTATAAATCCAGTCTCCTCTTCTATTTCTTCTTCTTGCCACCGCCTGCCTCTGTATAGTGTACCCAGGACTTCCTTGGAGGTCTCCCATCCAAGTACAAACCAGGGCTGACCCTGCTTAGCTTCCGAGACTTGACGAGATCAGGTTAGCCAGGGCTATCCAGGTCAGGACAAGAAGGCCTATCTCCCTGTCTAATCCAGCAGGGCTCTTCTCATGTTCCTAACCACAGACCGGTCCAGCATTCATGAGCCAAAAGTCACGGTAAGAAAGAGAACCCTCACACTTAAGGATTCACAGAGAGTCAATGGGAAGAACAGATAGATTTCTCATGCTGTGCTTGTTGTCGCCAAAAGGTCTTCCCTGCAGACAACGGAGATTTTTCTTCCAAAGTAGACTGCGGCATTTTTTTGAAAGGTTAGCGGTCACTTGAATGCTATACCGACGGTGCCGTCCCGGGCAGAGTTGCATCCTTGCTAAGATTATTGATTTCAAAGGATGTAGGGCCAAATTAGACAAGATGGGCATCCCCGGGGGAACATGCCAACATTTTTAAAAGTGAGTGCCCACCTGGGAACTCCTTTCAACTGCCCTGTGGGGGGGGCCTTTCAGGAGAGACCACTGCAGTGCGAGGGGAGGAAGAAGAAGAGAATAGATTGGATTTATACCCCGCCCTTCACTACCCAAAGGAGTCTCAGAGCGGCTTACAAACTCCTTTCCCTTCCCCTCCCCACAACAGACACCCTGTGAGGTAAAAGAAGAAGAGGAAGAGATTGGATTTATACCCCTGCCCTTCACTACCCAAAGGAGTCTCAGAGCGGCTTACAAACTCCTTTCCCTTCCCCTCCCCACAACAGATACCCTGTGAGGTAAAAGAAGAAGAGGAAGAGATTGGATTTATACCCCTGCCCTTCACTACCCAAAGGAGTCTCAGAGCGGCTTACAAACTCCTTTCCCTTCCCCTCCCCACAACAGATACCCTGTGAGGTAAAAGAAGAAGAGGAAGAGATTGGATTTATACCCCTGCCCTTCACTACCCAAAGGAGTCTCAGAGCGGCTTACAAACTCCTTTCCCTTCCCCTCCCCACAACAGATACCCTGTGAGGTAAAAGAAGAAGAGGAAGAGATTGGATTTATATCCCACCCTTCACTACCCAAAGGAGTCTCAGAGCGGCTTACAAACTCCTTTCCCTTCCCCTCCCCACAACAGATACCCTGTGAGGTAAAAGAAGAAGAGGAAGAGATTGGATTTATACCCCTGCCCTTCACTACCCAAAGGAGTCTCAGAGCGGCTTACAAACTCCTTTCCCTTCCCCTCCCCACAACAGATACCCTGTGAGGTAAAAGAAGAAGAGGAAGAGATTGGATTTATACCCCGCCCTTCACTACCCAAAGGAGTCTCAGAGCGGCTTACAAATTCCTTTCCCTTCCCCGCCACACAACAGATACTGCGATCCCCCCCGAAATGACCTCTGATTGTTCCAGAATAATAGGGGTGTTTTCTTATTTTCTATGAAATTTCTCATAGCACCACTTTCAGTTGCTTTCAAGTTGTTTATGTGGGAACTGGTGTTGTTGTAAAGGTTGTTCTGATATATGGTATGATGCCAACATCTGTGTGTAGTTGTTACTGACAAGTTAATTATGGTGCTTATTATTATCTCATAACTTGGAACAGTACACAGTGCTTATTTGGTTATGAATAGTGAATCATACCATCGGTCCATCAAGGTCAGCTCTGTCAACTCTGATTGGCAGCGGACGTCCAGGGGAGGGTCTCAGGCAGAGTTCTTTCACATCACCTGCGACCTGATCCATTCAACAGGAGATGCTGGGGATTGAACCTGGGACTTTCTGCACGCCGAGCAGAGGCTCTTCCACTGAGCCACTGAGGTCTTTCACATCACCTACTGCCTAGTCCTTTTTAACTGGAGATGCCGGGGATTGAATCTGGGGCCTTCTGCATGCCAAGCAGTGGCTCTTCCACTGAGCCACAGCCCCTACCCACAAGAATAGCCTTGCAGGATCAGACCAAAGAGCCATCTCTTCCTGTCCTAATGTCCCCCAGAAAACTCACAAGCAGAGGGTGAAGGCTACAGCTTACTTGCAGTATTATGCCTTCCCCAGAAAGAGATAGTCAGTGGAAAACTGCCTCTGAACATGCAGGTTGTACTTGCACACCATGGCTTATAAATGCTGACAGACTGTCCCCCATAATTTGTTCTAATCCCATTTAAACACTGGATATGTGTATGGGGAGTGGGAATTGAGCCAATATTCATGTATCTAGTTTATTTCTAGCTTCCCATCCTCCAAAGGAGTCAGAGTAGCATTTATGGTTTTCCTCATCGCCATTTTATCTTCACAATAACCCTGTGGTTGGGCTCAGAGAGGTCACCCGTTGAGCTTCATAACAGAGTGGAAATTGAAACCAGAGTCTCCTAGATCCTAGTCTGTGCTTTAGCTACCACCCCGGCTCTGGCCTCAC